TTATTTCTTCCAGTTCAACTGAAAACTCATGGAGGGAAAATAAGTCAAGTGAAATGTATAGGATTAAGAGTGTGGTAAAATGATATTTTGCTGACAAAAGTAGGGACAATACCTCATTAATAGTTCAGCTGGTATATATGTAGAAGGTAGCTCAAAACACTATTTAAACTTCCATAATACTGTTTCAGAACCAGTTCTCCCAAGTGTGGTACAGATTCTAGTTGTCATTTGGGACTGCACGTTAATCAGAGACTAAAGCCATGGATTATTGCAGAGAGGGATGGGAAGGAACCACCGTGCTGGGAATCTGGTAAGTGCACCCTCCAAATTTACCCCTACCATGACACTTCTGCTGGATGCTGTGTATATTCCCTGATATGCTTGTCCAGCTGTGCTACCTGATTTTGAAGGAAGGTACATGGTGACAGTTCTTGCCTCCTTTTGATAGCTGGAGACTGCGCATGCTTGTAGGGAGCTGTACCTGTGCTAGACGGTTCTCAACTCATACACGAGAGAGGGTGAACTGATTCTGGCACCCTTTATTGTGCCCCAGATGTTGAGTTTCCATATAAGTCTATTTTTTAATTGGCTGATGTAAAGCACTAGAACAGCAGGTTAGTTTATTACTCTGTCTCTTCCTCCCATCCCATATCAAGTCCAAAGCAATGCTGGGTTTCTGAGGATTTTTTTGGGTGGGGGCCAAGTATATGAAATTTCAGCCATATAAGTAATTTGGGGGGGGGGGGGGGGGGATCTAAATTGGGATAGAGGCATTTAGAGTGATTGTGCAATACCACTTACAAGTGTTTTAGGAAAAAGTAATAACACAAATCCAGGCCTTTTGCTGGGAGATTCCCTCTTCAGCCAATCTTGTCAAAGGTTTTTATCTCTCTGAAGGCCATGATCCATTTTCCTGACTTCCTAGGTTTCTCATTACTGTTTAAACTCAGTACTTTCCTCCTCTTAAGTATGGCCAGTATGGTTGTCATTTTTCTAAGGGTTGCACATCAGGAATAAAGGAGTAGGCTTAGCGCTTCAATGTCACCTTGACTAATGACTAGATTGGATAATAATAATTTCTGCTTTCAGTCAAGGGGAATGGTAAGTCTAATATATTAGGCTTTAGTAAGGTACAATATTTTATTTTGTACTTTGCAAGAATGAGAACATGTTTGCCTGGCAGCCCTCAGGAAAGCTTCTGGAAATATGCCGAAGTGACTGCAATTTAAACCTACGACTATAGAATTTTCACAAATGTCTCTAGCTATATCGCTCAACATTTGAAAGGCATTTATGGGGATTGCCTTCATTTATTAATAGAGTTGACCAAACACCTTCAAAACTTGCTGTAGATATTCACTGAAACATTTGAATTCACTTCGGTCAAGTATTGTCTCTCTATTCTGTTCATTTTTTGTACACAGTGTTGTAAAAATGTTTACTGACAGAAATACAACGTGGAAAAGGAGCACTGAAAACTAAAAATGAAGTATGTGCACTCAGCATCCTAGTTCTCTGTGCTATGTTGATGAATCAGTGAATACAGCAACATTTGACCTACCTTTGTGTCCACTATACCTAATGCAGGCAAAAAAATGTTAGCAGAAAATAAGATGCTCAAAATACATGACATTTTTCAGAAAAAATACTGCACACACAAACACATATGTAAAACCCATGTGCATATGCACCCCCCAAAAATGCACCAGTTACATATTATTTTTGCCTCAAAATTTATGTATCGATATATCACCCCAACTCAGGTCATTTTCTCTAGTTCTCAGCCGGCAAGACTTCTACATAGTTTCTCTGCCTCACAGCTATTCTTCAGAGATGCAGCAGTGGCAGCCAGAGAATTGGAATGCTCGCATGAGTCTCTCCAGTCCTCATACCCTCCACCTCCGTGAATCCTGGCTCCATGATACATCCATACACAGGGGTGTATTAATCCTGCAGGCATGCTTAATTTCTCAGCCCTACTTCTACATAGAGTAGAATAGATTCCAAGTGGAAGACTCCCCCACAATGGACTTACATTGTATTATTGGGGCAGCAATTAGCAATGCAATCAATAGCAAAAAAAACCCACAAACCATTACCTGAATGCAGCAAGCTACTGCCATTGCTAAATAATTAACCATGTGCCAAATAGGAGTCAGAGTCTCAATTCTGTTCATCAAATGCAAAAGTAGCCAAATAAGAAGTTTAGAAGATGAAATTCATAAAATATTTTATTCAGTACAATATGATCTCATGTTGAATCTTTTCAAATGTTTGCTTATATTTTAAAAATAATAGTCTCTCTGAAGTTGAACACAGCTTCAGCAAGTGCAGAAGTATTTGGGAATAAAGCAACTACGTGTGTTCATTTAAGTAGCACACTATGTGGGATGTTTGCTTCCATAAGGTATAAGCAGATGTCCCTGACTAACACAGCCCACCTTGAAGCATTCTTCTACTTACCAGAAAAAGTTACTATACCTAAAATTAAGTTATATAAATAAATGTTTGTCTGCTCTAAAAGTTGATGAAAATCCAGCCTTCACTGTATGGTGCCATTGTATATGTGATTTGTAAACTGTAGATCTTGACAGTCTCCAGTTACAATTGAGGAGCTCCTAGGTTAAGTGCCATTTTTGGTCTGAAATCAGGCTTACAGCATATGGAAATCCCTACTTCTGTATGTCGCTGCCGTGCACTGCAGCGAGGAGTCCGGGAGCCTTAGAGGCCGTCAGGCGGGTACTTGTGATGCTTGGAGTGTAATTAATTAGGCGGACGCTTATCGGTTGCAAAGCAGATTGTTTACTCACGCCGTCAAGGTGGTGAATAACGGAGGTCAGAGATACTTGGTTAGTTACAGCTTAGAGTTCGTCAGGTCGGTCTGCATAAGTGTTCGCTGTTCGGGCAGAAATGGTTGGGCCGGCAATCGTTGATTTACGTCTGAGATTGGGTCGAGACGGGGGAACTTAGACAAGTGATCAAATTGTCTAATTACTCTGACACGTATGTTCAGATGTCTCCAAGGTGTGTGCGGATGTCTCTGACTTCACGGAAGTGAAAACAGGTTTTGTTTGTGTAATAGCCAATTGGTTTTCGCCACGTCATAAATTTAATTAGAATTCCCAATTATATAGCGGTTTTCGCTAGGGTGTTATTTTAGGGCTACTCCCTGTATTACTCTGACCAGTTATAATGATTTATGTAAAGCAAAGAAGGTTAAAGTTTCATTTCTGCTAGTGGCGCAGCAATAAATCTCTTGTTGGCATGCACAGTGGAGAAGGCTGTTATTATCATTTTGTTAACCCTTAGTTAACCTAGTGCAAAATAAAACTGCTTTAAATAGTATCTCTTGCTTGTGGCATGGGCACTTACTTAATTGGGTTGTGACACTGTAGACAAGGTAAGTCATAATGTGCACCAATGGATCTCATTTTAGTTACCAACCTTCGGGGTAGGCATAAAAATTACTTCCAGACGGTTAATTCTAATATAGTCAAGGTGTTAGATGTGGATCAAAACAACACGTGGCATCATTCTTGGGAGCGAGAAGAGAAGAAGAAAGGGTGAAATCTGTTGGGCTGCTTGTAATTTTCACTCCAGCCACATAAAGGAACCTTAAGCTGATAGAGGGCATATTTGCACTCGGGGCAGTTCTAAGGAGGGCTCAGTGGTGCAGTTGCACCCTCCCCACTTTTGTTTTCTGCTCTATCCACATATCATCGACATTTCTATTCAGGCAGTGCTGCGGGAATCAACTGATTACAAACTCATTATAATCTACTGGTTTCTGCTAATCTGTCTTAATTCCACGTGTTAATGGTCTTTTCTCCTTGTTAGTGGTCTTCTGTACTTTTGCTGTTCGCCATTCCTGGTAATATCTCTCTTCTATTTCACAGCCCTGCAGACTGTTTTTAGGTCAAGCTAAAAATCTTAAAACAGGAGTTGTAATATTAAGTCAGGTATAGAAATGACTGACAGTGAAGTACTGGAAAAAAGATGCTCAGGAAGACCAGATTTTGTTTTATGAATCTGAATAAGACACGTACATTTAACCATAACTACAGGACTAATGCAACACTATATTTTAATGATTTTGACCATTTTTGCTAGCTTGCTGTGGTTTTTAAATTTAATATATAATCAAGCAAATTAACAAATATTCCAATAGTTATATATTTTTTGCCTTCATCTTAAACTGAATAATATGGTGCAAGGCCACTATCTTATTAGTAAAGCTTCTGGTTTCTCTTTAACTGAAGAAAAATGCATGTCATGTTATATGTGATGTGGCACACCATCTGTAATACCCCCTTTCCAAATTCCACAATTCACCCATGTTTGCACTTGCTTTTATTACTCACTTTATTCAACCAGAACAACATACTGTACATGTGTCTTAGAATGAGTAAGGTTTTTAAATTCTAGAAGTTGGTCCACCTCATTTGCTTGAGAGTAGATGTTGGTTTTAAGTAATTCTGAAGCAGAAATGCTACAAAATTTAGGAACAATTGTGAGCAAACTTTTAAATGCATCAGAATTGCTTAAATCCTTCTCTTCATTCTCTTTTGTTATACATGCACATTCAGAGAATAAAGGGAGTTCTCATGATGACTGTAATTCTGTAGACAACTGGCTTTTATGAGTTTGTCCCCATAGAATCTTTAAAAGTCCACCATGAAATGAGCATTGTACTGCCAAAGAGTTCCAGGGACACTTGTTATAACATTAAATATGAAGGCAAGTCCTGTAGTTAACTTCCCTTAGTGCAGAAAATTCTATTATTCCAAGCATGTGTCCCAAAATGTATCCAACATACCATGTACCTAATTGTATAAAGCAGCCTGGAAAACTTTGCTGACCCTGGAGATATTCTAAAATATTAAAGCTGAGATGTTAAAAAGAAAGAAAACAGAAGCATAAAGCTCAAATTGTCATTAACAATGAAAGAAGAGAGCCTAGGTACTGTATTTTGAAGATTTAGGTCATTCTGATTACTTTTCTCGAATTGAATTTCTTATTTATTAAAAAGACAAGACAATCTCAGGAGAGCATCTTCCGCAGTTCTTTCATATAGAGACATAATACACAATGTTAACAACCATGTAAAACAATACAAAATGCTTTCATATTTAACAAGTAGAAAAATATAACTAGTTTATATGGCAATTGTGAATCTAATACTGTACAGAAGTATTTATGGAATTTACAAATAAATTACAGCTTAAATGCCCTTTTTAAAAGTTCTAAATGTACAGTGGAACATAGGCTCTGAAGCTTATCACTAACTTACCACAAATTAGTGCCAGTCAAATGTTCTGCCAACAAGCTCAAAGAATTTCCTATTGGGTTCATGAAAATACTCATGCAGTTTATCAAGTAAACGGGAGTCTATTTGTGGGTGTGCTCTTCCTTTTGATTCATGTAAGCAACGTTCCCTACCACTGTCCCTTAGACAATAAAATCCTTTAGTTTTATTGAAATAAAAGTTTGAAGCATTTATTTGAGGTGACAACCTTAAAAACCTCTCTACCTTCTCTATTTCTGGGAAGGGATCTTTGATTAGTTTATCCCCATCTACAATGTGAATGTGACCAAGAGGGAAGTACTTCAACCAGTTTTCCATGTGAATATAATATAAGCTTCTATTTATTGCCTTGTAGTCCACGTTGAGTTCACCATCTTTAATCAGAACTTGTTCAATGGAAGGATACGGCTTGTGCTTTTGCACATGATTATAGAACACTTGGGTATAATCTGATAATACTCTCTCACTTGGATCTCTTAAAATAAGGAGTAATCTTATTGATTCATTCATGTTATAAACTCTTTCAGGCACTTTGGGTGATGTGAAATATGCTGGGGTTTTTTCCACTGTGATCTGACGGGGATAAGAGAATGGCATTTGATTCATATACCACTGTAGTCCATTTCCATAATGATCTTCCCAGTCAAAGAAATGGACTTCACTTTCTGCTGCTGCAATATTTGGATGGAGACTCAACATCTCTAATAAGGCTCTTGTTCCACCTTTTCTTACTCCAATGATGATAGTTTGTGGTAGCTGCTGGCGAGATCCATTAGAATGAATGTTTTCTTTAAAGTCATTTTTGAGAGATGTTTTCTTTAAAAGTTCTTTCTGAACAGACTGAGAAGGAGCCTCTGCCTTAGGATGTACAGCTGGTCTGGAAGGCACTATATGAGGTTGAGCAATAAGCAGCACAGCTCCCAGTAGAAAAGCTGCCATGGCAAAAGTTCTTAGTCTGGTTTCACTCAACCAGGTAATAGGGTAGGTAGCAATTTCCACATAGAACAGTCTTTGAAACTTGTGATTCTTTTGCTGAGCGTACTTCTCAAGCAGAAAAGTCACTAGAAAAAGAAAGAAAAACACATTACTCTCAGATATATCACTGCTAAAAGCTAAATTAAGATGCTAAATGTTATCTGTTTCTGCAACAGTTCAAATTTCCTAATTCTCTCAAAGTTAGACTTAGAAATCACTGGATATTGTTAATCTTTGAAAATGAATGCAACTTCCCAAGAAAATGTTTACCAAAGATTTGGAGAGAAGAACATTATAAAGCTTTCTCTAGTACCTAAGTTGGAGTGCCATAATTTTGATTTGTTAAGAGTTAAGAGTTGTACTGATTTAACCTGAGAATTTGGTACTATTACCGTCAAGTGTGGTAACGTCTTGGAATCAAAACTGAGAAAGAAAAAGGACAGTAAATCCCTGGCCTATACATAAGAGTAAATGGGAATTCTAGGAACTGTAGTCTTTGGAGGGCTCGCATGACTGCAAACTAGAAGCAAGTTCTGCTGGGAGAAAAGATTCAGGCAATAAAAGCAGAGCTACCTAGGATTACAGAAGATCTAAGAGGGCTATGGTGTTCCACTGGAAGGTCTATGTAAGAGTGGCCTAGAGAAAAATGAAGCAGAGGGACATTCATTGCACATGCAGGTTCCCTTGTGTAGAATCTTGGGTGGAGTAAGTTCTCCTAAAATACTGTCTACAAAAGGTGGCAAAATCCATTCAATGAAAGGGAAGAATGTAAAGGAAGGTGCTTTTTTAAGGAAGGAATGTGTTTTCTTATTGAATAACTATGTAGAAAATAAGATTTTTATTTTTCTTCTACTGTTGTTGGAAGTAGAGAACTTTGATTTTCTTTTTTTCCCCCAGAGGTTCAAATCTTGAGTATGTTAACTCCTCTGACCAGGCAAAAGGGAAATGGGGGTACATCTGGGAAAATGAAGCACAACTGCACCCTGATTTTGGAATGAGCCAAGATGTCCCTCTTATAACTATTCTATAGATATACCATGTTTGGAGTTCTAGAGCCTATCTTTACATACCTTTTTAAACTGAACATTTCTGCAAAAATGGCAAATAAGTAAGTGTTGATGCTGATAGTTAGCAGCAGTCACATCCTGAGATAAGAAAACATCAAACATATTACTGAATATCACTTTGTGAGTTGATTAATGGCATTTGCCATTATGTAGAAGTTTGCTTTTAGCAAGAGATCCAGGTTTTATACTGTAATGTGATTTTCATTTATTCCAGTTTGAATGGTTAATTTTGTTCTTAAAGAACAGAACACTTTTTGGCATGCTGTTATTAAGTTGAATAAATCTGCAAGAAATGTCGCCCGTGTTTCTTGATCATTGTGATTAGTCTTGGACCTTGGACATCTTTGTCATGTTGGAATTTGCTGGAAAGTACCAAACCTTCCAGCTAACCATTCTCTGAGCCAGCCACAGGTTCTTTATACTGAGTGTCTACCATTACTGAGCTGCAGTGAAAGTGTTAGCATAGACAATATTTTAGGCAACTGTTAATGTTGTTTAAACCTAGTAGTTGTTTCTGGTAGATTAAAGGTGTTCTGTGGTACGATACTTGTATTTAAACAAGGCATGGGTGTGCCCCAAATAGAATATGCATCATTTCTCTTGTTCTTCATATCAATTATTCTAATATAATAAAGGGCCTAGTCCATGTGTCTGTCTCTCCATAATGCTCTTGGAGTACTCGGATTGGTTATGGAAACAACCAGTCAGAGTGCTCCAAGAGCATTATGGACAGAAGGCAGCAGCGGTGGCACGGCACCATGAAAGTGGGGGTGGAGGGGACAGAGTGAGGGGACCAGGCAAGCTTCCCCGCCCCTCCCCCCCCCCACCGTCATTCTTGATGGGCAATTTGCTAGTGAATATTATAGTTCCCTCTCACTTGTAGTTGTTATTGTTCAATAAAAAAAATGGAGTTGTACTGTTAGCCAGGAGACAGAGAGACTCAAAATGGGTCTGAAGAAGATATGGGAACCTGACTTGCTATAGCTCTTCTGAAATGTATAGGGTTTTCAGGGAGAACTACAACCTGCCTTGTGTAGGATGGATGACATGGTCTGTTTTGTGATAGAAGATGTATGGAAACTCCGTGAAGTAATCTTTTGAATTTTCTTCCTTTTTGGCTCCCAGCTCAAGTTTTTGATACAGGGGCAAAATATGGGTATATGTTAATCCCTCTCTCCCGCTCCACCCTTCTAAAAAGAGTTTTCGCCATGCCAGTGATACTCTTGCTAATAATTTTTTTATCTCTGTTTTAACTAAATAAGAAATAGTATGGCTGCTGCTGACAGGAGGATTGGCAGTACGACAAAGCCTCCACTACTAGTAACTTTATCTGGGCACCCTGAATGACTACTGGAACCTCATATTTAGCAGCAATATGAGCAAATACTGCAGCAACAAGGGCTTAGGAGACTGAAGACCACTATATTAAGACTATTAAACAACAAACCTGAATTAATTTTTGAGGTCATTAATTAAAAGAAACAACCTCTTCTCTCTGAGTATGTTTTAAGAATGATAAGTATATAACCTGTAAGAACTACTCAGCCCAAATCTGCACTGCCAATAAGACTTGTTTAACATTTAAACATCTAATCTTAGAAACACCTACTCATGACTAGTCAGTTAGATTACCAATGAAGAACCTGATGCTACCCATGACACATGCTGGCACAGCATACGCCTTTTCAGTAATTTAGAAGGAGTGTCCCCATATGCACTAGTCATTACATTTTATTTTTGTGTAATGTTTGTTCAAGAAGGCATCAGATAATATATGCTATATGGTAGTATTTATTGCCTGTATACATGCCTAATTAACCATATCCTCAAATGCCTTTGCATTACTCCTTTTTGCTTGCATCCAATGATGCTTTATCTCATTTTTCTTTTTAATACACACAGTTTGTATTTGATTTGACAGATATTTGAGCCATTTCATTTGTGTTGTGTTAAAGTAATACAAGACAATGGACAGTACCTCTCATGCATAATAAATCATATAAATTTTATACAGAGACCATATATTGAATAGGCAAAATGAAATCCATGAATAAAATTGCATATGGATCAACTTATCTCAGTTTTCTTCTCCCATGCCCTCCCTAGAACATGATATAAATCTGCATTTTATTTAGTACAATGGCAATAGTTTATATAAAATAAAGATGCTAGCATATGTTATATAGCTGTGCAATTTGTGACCCTTCAAGAGTTTATAACAGCCAGTTTGCCAAATTACTTTTCTTCTTTGAGATTCCCCTCCATTGCCTCTGCAAGTCATTTAGAGCATATCTGATTTCATAGAATGACTATTTTTCAGATTAGTATAAACTTTTAACTAACCGCATTGTATTAGTATTATATTTGCTACAAGTAAATGAATGAGTCAGTACAAGAAATACAGTTCATGTTTAAATGATATTTTAGAGAATTTTTTTTTAGCACATTACTTTTTCTTAATCTTCTTTTCAACCTTTTCAGATTAATTAATGAAATCCTGGTAACGCAGTTTATTCAGTGAGATTCACTGCGGAGCATGCCAATTAAATTAGCTGCGAGTTATCATTAAATACCTTGAAAAATTTGTCTTTGAAGAAAATGCACAACTTTTTTTTCTTACATTTCTTGTAAGAAAATTTGTGGGGGAGAAAGAGCTGTCATAATTGCTGGATTTAAATGAGTTTGTAAAGCATAGCTTTTTTGTATTCTAATACTGATATGACCCCAATTTGCCATGGTTTCTGAACACCTCACAATCCTCAATATTTGTATCCTTACTGAAGGGCATTTTTACCTGACAGCTGATATGAATTAACTTCATCAGTAATATCTATATTGAACAATACCATTTTAGACAAACTTGTAGTCAATGTCAGTAACCTTATTTCTCATACGTCACAAAAAGAAGATTCAGGCTAAGACTTCTAAGGAAGACTTAGTGATTTAGGTGCCCAAGTCCACTAGAATTCAATGAGTCAGTAGTTTACCTCCCATATACTTTTCTAAAAATCCCAGCCAAAACGATTTGAGAAGCAGGAACAGAATCGGAGTCTCCTGGCTCTACTTCTATGTAAATTTTGTTTTAAAAGCAAACAAGCAAAACAAATTTCAATATCTGCATTAAAAACCATAGCTTATTAAACATGACAATATAGGGCCATTCTTAGACTAGCCATGCAAAATAACAAAGAACATTAAAAGACTGATTTAATTATTATATGAAACCAAAAGTTTCTCTCAGTGCCATAAATACCAACTTCAAAGGAAAGATGCTCACTACCGTACCAGTTTTCTAACAAAACAGCATTGTTTGTACAGGTTCAGAATTGGTAACTCACTAACTCTGTTTAAACAGGATTCTTTTACTTTAATTTGTCCCACTCCTTCAGTGCTACTGGTAACAGCCTTTATGTTCACCAGCCTGGGTCTCAGCACTGCTCAAGCAGGTCTGGATGATTCTATAAGTAAACTGTCATTAAAGCACTGCTTGTGCTAAATGAGGTAGGGAATTTTAAAGGAAAAAAAATTCAAGATCGACAGACTCTCTGAGCTTGGTCTCATGAGGCTCAGCATCTTCAA